TTGGGGCGCGGCCGTTGGGGCGCGGCCGTTGGGGCGCGGGCGCTCTCAACCCTGCTCGTTCAAGGTTCCTGGGAGTCATGCCCGCCTACAGCGCCGCGGACCAGGCGCTGACAACCAAGCTGGTGACTTTCTACGAGCACAAGGAGGATTCTTCTGTTCCTTCTCACCAAGCGACTATCCTCTTATTTGAGCCGAGAAATGGCTCTTTAAAAGCTGTGAGTCTGCTGCATGCTTCTGTTTTCTCCTCTGTTAGTGCCCTGTCCAGTCTGCTGTGTGACCTTTATTTTTTTTTTTCTTTTCCAGAGCTGGTGTAAATGGGTAAAAGTTTAACTACTAAGTTGGCATAAGTTTAACGACATCATCACTTGGCCTAAAGCCTTATGTTTTTCACGTGTGTTAAAGTGTACTCTGTTTCCTTTCCTCCAGAGCTTATAACCAGTTACGGTTTGAAGGGAAACTGTGGGCTCAGGGGGTGAGTGGAAGGGAGAAAATGGTGAGGAGTTTACCCTGTGTTTGAAGGAGGGGGAAACTTTCCTGAGTAAGGAACTGATCCTGCGTCCTCTTTAAGTGTAAACCTAAAGAGACTTACAATTGGCCTTGTAGGAAATAGTATTTAGGGTCTGTTTTGTGGTGGGAGTTTTTTGTTGTTTGTTTTTATTTATTTGTTTTAGAATTTGTGACTATTAACCATTTTTCCCTATGCTCTTGTAATGATGGCTGTCGAAGGGCTGAAACTGGGGAAGAAAAATAGATTGGGCTTTTATTGCTAAACTGTATTGGAAGAAAGTAACTTTCTTATTCCACATAATTCATTTTTATGTGATAGTTAATACACAGTGGGACACTCTAATTCCAAATTAAAGGAACTCCTTGAAGCTTGTGCACTCCATAGTTCCTTGTCATCCTTCTGCTGTGAACTAGGACAGTGCAGGACCCCTGAATCGCTGCCAGCTTGCGCTGGTCCCTAGTCTTAGTTGAGTGCAGTGTATTGCAGTTATATCAATCTATTCCCGGCATCGGAGAGTCAGAAAAGCACGGTACAGGAATGGCTATGTTTGAGTTAAGGGTGCTTGGCTTTGACTGGTTTTTACTCTATTTGTGCTGGTGGAATGGCATGAAAGAAATGGAGTGGGGAATCTGCACGATTTCTATGTATGATTTATATGGTATATGGTTGCTGTAGTTGCAGTTACTTACTTTCATATGTTTGTCTGTGTCTCCTAATAGCACTTAATTCACATGACTTGTGAATCGGGTAAAAATGCTTGGGATTCAGTCATGTTTTCATTGTTCATTTCAGTCTGACTTTTTTTTAAAGGTCCTTGATGGCAGTGTGATTACAGCAAAACGAACAGCTGCAGTTTCTGCAATAGCTACCAAGGTATGTCTTCAGTGTCCTAAGTCAGGATAGACTCACTAGGTGGTATTATGTATAAAATAGCTAGAGGGAATGATGTAAACGACTTTCACTCCATGTGAATTTTCTTCAAATATAACTTTAAATTACAATTGTGATAATGTATGTACCTTCAGGGAAAACTTAAAGTGTATTTTTCTCTTTTGATTGAGTCGTGGCTAGTTTTAATATTTTGTATATGATGCAACCTATGTTTCTGTGGTTTATTCTGTAAACTTCTGGGAATTTATGGAGGTGTTTTCCTCTGATTCTTGCCCCCACCCTGCACTGCTTTTGTATTTATCTTAACATGTTCCTCTGTGGCTTTGGGTGAGAGATGTGGTGATAAATTCAGTTTTGTTTAGATGTTCTGTTCTCTGGTCAAGACAGGTGGGATTCACTGGCGAAAGATAAAAAGGCATGTTTCCAGAGGGCAATATAGACAGCTTTAAGATAGGTGGATGATTGGTTCAGAGATATCTGTCTCTGTTTTTGCTGTTGCTGGAGGGTTTCCAGATGGCTAGACCCAACTACGGCCCTGAACTTCAGTGCTGGAAGAATAGGTGGCGTAAATCTTGCTATAGGTTGCTTTGTCATTTAAATTTTAGCTGGAAATCGTTGCTTTAAAATTCTTTTTTTTTTTTTAAACAATTTTTGGCTGGCTTCTAATAGTGGGAATTTTTTCAGCTCTGTCCCTCTTACTTTCCTCATCAGCTTTAATCAGACTGAAGATTGACCTCTCCACTTCATTATTAGCGGTCCTCATGCCAGTGTAAGTCTCTCCAAGGCAATAGAGCTGAGCTGACATAAAATTGGAGTGAAGGACCTGTCCCTTGTACTGGGGACAAAACAATTCAGACTGGATTCCTCAGACATTAGGTTATAGGACTTCATTCATCTCAACCATTGTACACTTAGCTAATTCTGACAGTTCTTATGCAGTCAAGGCTCTGCTGGCTTCAAAGGAGCTTGGCCGGTGAAGGGACTTCAAGATCAGACCCTTCATTGTTGTCTGCTGTTTTGGGAAATTTTCAGGAGTGTTTGAGTTTAGCTCTTAGCTGTCATGTTGTTCTCTTTATGGCATTTGCTTTTCAAAGATCCAATGCTCCTAGGCAGGAAACCTTTGAAGTCAGTGCTTCAGTGTTTTTTGAAAGGAACATTACAGAGTTCTTGCCACTGAAAAATGTGATCAATGAGGTTTTTTTATTGTAGCAGAATAAGAGTTGAGAGTCTACACAATTCGAAAGCTTTTCATGCAGAAGTGAGTGACCACAGCAAATGCATAAACAAGACACAAGGATCGCTTGGGGCTGGACTCCAACAGTCCTCTCTTCCCCCTTGCCAAGTACTGATGAATCAAAGGCAAGAACTAAACCAGAGAATCAAAAGCAGCCATGGGACTGAATCTGAAAACTTGCTCCTCGGAACCATCCGTATTTTTAACAGTACCTGGTACAAACACATCATGGTTTTTAAGTGAGGAGTTTTACCATATGTTGCATCTAGAGATATGGTATGTTGGTTACAGGATAGCTAGAGAAATCTCTTGTATATGAGGAAAGATTAACTGAGGTTGAAAAATGCTGAACAAACCCCCTGCTGTCTAAACTTCACGTGGATGAACTGAACTGGTAGGAAAAGAGGCAAAAAACATTCCTTAATTCCTAAGAAAATGAGGTTGTGGTGACTGTGTGCCCCATTAATAAACTTTAAATAAACTTAATAAACTTTAAATCCATGGACCAATTTCAACCAAATGTGATAGAAGTAGAATCTACAAATGTATAAAGTTTCTGAAAGCTTTCTTAATGTTGACAGCTGAGTAGGAAAGACGGATCCTGTTAATCTTTTACCGAGGGAAAAGAGCTTAGCTCCTACCTGATTGCTTTTGGACTAGCTGGCAGCCAAGGAACAATCTTCCTCTGAATAGCTCTAGTCCAGCCATGCATATGCTTCAGTCCCAGCAAGTAGTGTTTAGTGGATCTGTGGGAAACAGAACGGTGCTCAGGACATCCCAATGAAAAGGCAGGTATGAAACAGTAGAGGGAGGCAATACCATCGTACTTGGAAGGACATTAGTAATATAGTACGCAGATCCCTAGGAAACCAGCCTTTGTTAGCCTTACTGCTTAGGAACAACTTTTTTCTTCTTCTTTCCATCTCTAAAGCAGACAAAACTAATTTCTGAATCTTTTGACAAACTGAGGTGGAAATAATAAGCTGCAGAGTGCCAGTAAAGAAGACCTCCTTTCCAAAGGAAACCAGAGATTATGGTAAAAGCCACTATCTAGTAGTGATGCAGTATATTTTCTGTGCAATGTTAAGATGCCCAAAGGGTTCCAATAAAATACTTTTTTGGCAGTATTATCTGCCTCAACACAACGTATGATCTGCTGATGCTGATTGTGTCAGGATTGCCTCTTACAGTGCTGGATTCTGCCTGTGGTGTCACTTGTGGCTTCAGTGACTTGCAAAAGACGACTTACCTTGGGTCTACCAGGCACAGCTATCACTTTCAGTACTGATGGCTTTCAGGGTCAACCCCTGAAAAGGGGTCCTATTTGCAGCCAGTGCAGAATATCAACACAGTGGTTCTACACTTCATTAGTCACGCGGGTGTAGTGCATTGCACTAATATAAGTGTGCAGAGGCCCCAGAGTTTGTTTGATGCATGCTGTTGCATGTTGGAGTCTGAATTTCAAGAGTTGGAAAATTAAACAGCAAAATCAAGCTTGGTGGTACTTTGGTGCTATTGATACTATTCGCACAAAATTGATTTTTATATTACTGAATGTTGTTTTATGTTAACATGAGTTGATGCTAGCTTTTGCTTTAATGTTTTTTCTTTGAAAGGACTAAGGATACTGATTTATTTTGTGCTATTGATATGTATGGTAATAGAACACATGTATATGCTGTTTTCTTTACATCTCTGTTGTTATCTTTGATATTTTTTAGTTGTTAATGCCAGCTTCTGCAGAAGTGCTGTGCATTTTGGGAGCTGGTGTTCAAGCATATAGCCATTATGATATCTTCACAGAGCTGTTCACGTTTAAGGAGGTAACGGACATATCTTAGCAGAATACATTTATTTTTCTCCATTATGTTTCAGGAGCACTTACAGATAAAACATGCTACAGTCAAAGTTTCAGTTAAGGGATTAATCATATTTAGATTATGTTTCTAGATAACCCAATACTCTGAACATCTGTAGAATTTCCAGCTTAAATTTTTTGAAGTTGGAAACAAAGTCAAGTTTCAGATATTAGTAGGCTTTTCCTCAGACAAAGACAACAATGTATGCCATATTTGAATGAACTTTCTTTGATTTTCTCCTAAATACACCTGTTGAAAATACTTACCTTTTATAAATACAGCCTTATGAGGACCTGTTATCCTGGCATTACAGAATGTAGCTGCCCATGCAATAAATTTAGTCACTTATTTTCCCTTTAATGTTCTCATCAAATAACCTTTTAGGATAGATGTAATCATTTGCTGAAAACTGAAAGACTATCTATTCTATGTCAGTGAGGAGAATTTTCCAGGTTGTGATGTTTGGCCTTTTTCTTGAAGGTCAGGATATGGAATCGTACTAAAGAGAATGCAGTGAAGTTTGCCCGTTCAGTTAATGGTCCAGTGCAGATCTGCTCTTCTGCTCAGGAGGCAGTTACTGGGGCTGATGTCATTATAACTGTCACCATGGCAACAACACCAATTTTACTTGGAGAGTGGGTAAAACCAGGTGCCCATATCAATGGTATGCTATGTTCTCATCATTTAAAGGACACTTTTGTTACTGTGTAGTTCAGCATCAAAAACTGTTGAAGAACAATACTGTTTCTTGGAATAAATACTTCTTTCGTCTTGACTGTTTCCCTTTAGTGAGGGCCCCGTTCCCTCTCCCTGTACTCCTGAGCGTCTGGAGCCAGAACTCCTATATGTTCCAGCACTGGATGTTTTCTAGATCATGGGATGTGTGTGTGTCCCTGTGGTGCATCATCTTTGCCACTGTGTGCTCGCTTGATGTTCGCCTTGTGCTCCATTTAAATAACCCCATACAAGCATATTATTCCCAAAGTGATTCTAGCTCATGCTACTATTTCCTTAGTAGCTGTTATCTTTTCCTCACCTGATTTTGTAAGCTCCTTTATTTGTTCCTTTGGGGCTGGATCACACTGATTTTTTTTTTTACTTAAGTTAAAAAGGTACGGAAATTGAGTAGGAACCTCACAATTTGACCTTTAATTATGGGGAGGTTTGGGGGCTTTTTTAATCTGCCTGATAATGATGTTGCTGCACTATTGTACAGAGTCCTTGCACATGTTGGCATTTGTTTATTTTATTAATGTTGGGCCTGGTTCAGATGACCTTGTGCACTTTCCAAATGGCTTGGTAATAAGACAAAAGCGGCTTGTCGAAGGGGACAATTTGCTGGAAGTTCCCACATTCCAGCAGCATCCTACCGATTTTTCAGACTCAATTTAGTCCTTTGTCACTGAATGTTGTTGTCCGTGTTATGTCACGGCATGGAAGCCAGAATTACAACCAAAATCAATTAAGGTCTGCAGTCACTAAGGCAACATTTACACAGAGACCCCTCTCCTTTCTTTGCCTTCCACCCCTCT